AATAAATTTTTGTGCTTGGTAACTCTCACTTTTTATTTGATTCTTTCATTTATTAATTTATTTGAATACATCTATGTTTTTTGAAATGTTGGAACGGCGTTTTTTACAGTATAATTGGTGAGTGTAGATTCTCATGAAAAACAACTAATAAGAAATATTAGTGACAGACCAACTTTGAACCAAACGCGCCTGATATGATGTTCTTTCGTGCAGTGCGTTGTTGGACTAAATCCAATTTCGGATTTTTTTCAATGTTTTATCCTTTCAACAAAATCGTGTACAAAATCATCAGTGCCAAATGCGAGCTGATTTTCAGATTAAGATATATTAATGGTATTTAACTGATACATACATTTCTGGTTCGTATCAGTTGGTCTCGTAATCTGTAGGCATTTCTGCGTGGGATTTCAGTGGTACCTTCGTTCACTAGTGCTGGTATTTGATCGGGGGTCGATTGTGATGCTGATTCTTCGGTACGCTGAAGGCAGTAGAATGCAGCACTGTAGTACTTCTCTAATGCACAGCTGTGTCGTTTTCCGTTTTCAAAAAAATATTTGTTTGTTCTTTGGTCATCAGGTTTGAAAACCGCTGATATAGCATCAAAGTCGCTGAAATTTACCGTGATTATTTAGATTGACTCAGTTATTTCGACAATTTACACCATCTATAAATTAATGTAACATCTAATAAATTCCTGAAGAAAAAACTTACTTTGAAAAAATAAGTGTTTTGTAAGCCAATTAAGCGTTGAAAGTAACGAAAAGAATGATCTATAAAAAAACTAACACTTATAATCAAAATTTTTGAGTGTTATAAACATATACACTCTTAAAACTCTTCACTTCAGTTTTAGCCACAAAATTTAATTGACTGTGTACTGCAACAATTCTGGTTATCATAAAAGACGGGGTGAATTTAAGGGATTCTATAAAGTGGAAACCATGAGGTACTATGGAAAGTCTCTCAGTATCTTGGCAGTAGAACCGTTTCAGGAAAACAAAATGCCATGAATTCAAGTTTTGTTGGAGGCTTGCTGACATATTCTGCGAAAAAGAATTAAAAATTTAGAAAGTGATTTCTACTATTATATGACTTACTGACAGTACAGTCACAAAAACGCATAAATAACTGTAAAGTCGACTTATTTTCTTCTGTTTTTATTTTAATCCAAATTTCAACAGTTTTAAATTAGAGAAAATGTTAACTGCAATCTAGTTCTAATGCCAAATTCTTGTTGCTTTAGATTTCTATGTTCAGCTGCAAAATATCAGCACACCGTATTTTAGGTCTAAAATAAAATAGAAAAAATGAGAAAGGTAAATTAATTGCCATTTCAATGACATACCTGACTTTGGTTATTATGGCAATTGGTATTTTAAGCAGGAAACAGAATAAAAAACTGTATTTTTCTATTTCGACTAACAGTTTTGCAAAAATCGAACAGTGTTTGGTTTAGTTTAGTATGAACTTTCTTTTACCATCTTAATTCACTGCCTTTTTAAAAGTTTTGGTGTTTTTTGTTTGCACTTTATAACTTGAATAAGAAAGTTTACAATTTACGGTTACAGAATTGACACTATAATAATGGACAGTTTATAACCATAAAGTTTAACCTAACAACAAACTTATTTTTAAAATTTTGTAACTATGTTTTACTACTGTATCGAATCAGTACAGTTTTCAAATGGTGCTCTATGTTGCTGATGGTTCTCAAGTGTAACTATCAATGAATCAAAAGAGAAAAAAAAAAAGAGAACAGAGTAAAAAGATTTCTGTTCACTACTCACATTTTTTAGACAGCTTGCAAAATGAAAAAAAAAAAA